CATTCAATAAATAAGGTAGAGGTACCTAAAAATGACATCAGTTATAGAAATGGATGTTTCAGGTAATCACAATAAATTTACGTACGAAAACATGTCAAAGACTAGTTTTGATTTTAAAGTCAGTTGTCATTTAAGAGAAAATTATTTCTCTTAAACAATCCTACCATGGAGCTAGATGAGTTAACACTTATTGTTTTTCCCATTTGCAGGATAGAATTTCTTTGTACTTACATCTTGAAAAGCTTTGGCAAAGTCAAGACAAGCATTTGTTAGATTTAGAGGATCCTATTTAAGTGAAGGAAAACATTGATCAGTATGAGGTTTGATACAATATTCCTTTGTGAGTATGTGTAAGTTCCTGTACTAAATCACAGTATTTCAAAGTGTGCATTGAAGAATGCAAGTGAAAAGAATGCATATATGTAGTTAGATTTTTTAAAGATTTGTTAATTTATTTGAAAGTCAGAGTTATGGAGAAGGCAAGAGAGAGATCTTGCACCCTTTAGTTAGAGCATTTTAATATGTGGAAATCCTGCAAAACAGTATCACTCAAGACCAAGATGAGGATTACATGATAAGCATGTATGGCATTAGTGAAAAATTAAAGTAATTGAATAGCTATACTGTAGTTTGAACATTTGTACCTTCCAAACTCCAAATGTTAGAATCCTGTCTGTGAAGGTGACCACATTAAAAGTGAGGTCTGAGACCCACACACTGGTGCAGTGGGCTAAGCATCTGCCTGCAACACTGTCATCCCATATGAGCTCCAGTTCAAATCCCAGCTGCTCTACTTCCAATTCAGCTCCCTGCTGAAGGGCCTGGGAAAGCAGCAGAAGATGGCCCAAGTTCTTGGGCTCTGCCACCCACCCACACGAAACCTAAATGGAATCCTAGACTCCTCGCTTCAGTCTGGACCAGCCTGAGGCAGTTGTGACCATTTGGAGAGTGAACAAGCAGATGGAAGATCACCCTATCTCTCTCTACTTCTCTCTCTCCTCTCTCTCTCTCTCTCTGCCTTTCAAAAAATTATTTTTGAAAAAATAAGGACTTTTGAGAGTGATTAGTTCATGTGGGCAGAGCGCTTGTGATTGGGCTGGGTGCCTTGTAGAACAGGCCCCAGAGAGCTCAGCCAAACCTCTCCCCATGTGAGATGGTTGCTGTCCAGGAAGAAGCAGGCTCATCAGACAGGAACTCTGCTGGTGTCTTAACCTTGATCCCAGTCTTCAGCTGTGAGCAACTAGTTCATGCTGTCTGTAAACCATCCAGTCTATGGGATTTTGCTCTGGCAACCCCAATGGACTAGGACAGGCAGCTTCCCAATTTAAGAAGGTAGAATTCTGTATATAACTCTATGTCTATAACTTTAAGAGCCCAATCTTCAGAAAAAATTGAAAATATTTTACTGGATGAAAGCCCTGGCATTTTGGAGAAATACGTCTTTGGGTCACTAATAATAAAAATTGATGGTTGAAATCTACAATATTTCTTCTGATAAGTTCAGCACAGTAAAATTCAGCCCAGAGAATAAAAATAAAGCCTTTAGAATCTTAAGATGCTGTACAGGTGCAGAAGGATAAGAATAAATTTACATTTGATGAAACCAGGAACATATTCGTATATGATCCTGTCATTCTTCTCTTGTGACATTCAATGCTGACCACAGTGTTGTTACTAGTTCAGTTTTTGCCTCTTCTGTGTGTTCAGGAAGTTACTTTTCTAGCTTAATGTAACAATATTTTACATCTAACACCTGGCTCAATGTATATTTGTATTATAATAATTAGTTGACATGTATATCAAAGATTTTCCTCCTGTGGTTGATGGTTAGGTTTTTACTTTATGCTAAGAACTCTTTCATATGCATTATAATATAGAATTCTAAGGAAAAGAAAGAGCATGCAATTTTAATCTCCATGTTGTGTCTTGAAAAGATTGTTACTTACCTAACAAACACAATTCTGAATGGCAAATCTCAGAATTCTAATCAGTGTTTTGCATAACATTGAATTCTTTCTGAGGAACCCTGAGGACTTACTTTTAATTGGGAATTTACATTCCACCCACATTCATCTCCTTTTCATATTATCTTGCAAAACTGCACCTAAATATTGTGGAATAAATAAATCTGCATAATATCAACTGTTCAGTTCTTTGAAAACATAATTATTACTCAAGTGTTTTGCTGTTTGTTTGTTTTTTCCACCAAGGCCATGCTTAGATTATTCTAGAATGTCTGGCAATGACATAATCTCCTTCTCCTGTCCACACTGAGTTTGATTGTATGACTTTCTCTGGACAATGAAACTAAATTAGCAATATGATCCAAGCAAAGACTTGAGAAACCTTCCATGTTGCAGCTTTCCCTCTCAGAGCTCCTGGAAATGCTTCTACAACCACCTGAAGATTGGGATTCCAGCCTATCCTGGTAGAAGATGGAAACACATGCAACAGAAATGCATTGTTTTAGTGGAGGCCCAGTCAGCTCATAGTCAACCCATCAGCCAAGTGCAGATTCATGAGGAAGGCAGGTACTGCTGGCAATAAAACTGGCCAAGTAATTCCAGTCCAAATCTGATGCACAAGATTGTGAGTGAATTACAGCTCGGTATCCATTAAGATCCAGCAATGTGTAGAGTGGTTTATTATACAGCATTGGCTTAACATCATGGCATTGAAAAGGGACTTCAAAGAAGTGAATAAAGTTGTGTGTGCATGTATGTGTACATATGTAGATATCATATTTACATATCATTATTTTTCAATAGTGTTAAGTCATTTAAGAAAAAAAAAGAAAAAATATCCAAATACCTTCAAAACCTCTCAAACTAGGCTTATAGAATTACTTTTCAAAAGGAATTACACTCATACAAAAGTGAAACCTGTTGAATGCCTAGATAGCTGGGGAAAACCAAGATCCCCAGGTTAGTAAACACAGAGTTTCTACTTTGTTCTTCACTGAAGGCTCAGTATTACAGCCATCATTACGAACACTGGAAGCAAACTCCAATTTCCATCTCCTTCATGTATTATATAAAACACAGTTAGCTTTCCTGGAGTTCACTGTCTCTCTATAATGACAGAAATTTGTGGTTCCCCCTGCCTATTGTCCTGTTCCCAGTTAAAGAAATAATTAAACAGAGCAAAACACAGGATAGGTTTTGGTCTAGCAGTTATGATGTTGGTTGGTTGCATTCCATGTGGGTTCAGCTCAGCTCCTGGCTCCAGCTTCCTGCTAACATAGATCCTGGGATGCCACTGTGGTAGCCTCAGTCAATGAGTTCCTTACTACTCACAAGGGAGACCTGGATTGGATTCTTGGCTCCCAGCTTCAGCCCCCAGCCGAGGATCATCATGTACACTTGGGGTATGAGCAAGCAATAGTTGTATCCCCTCTCACTCTCTGCTCTCAAATAAGTAAATAAATAATAATTTTTTAGAAATTAAAAAACAATAAAACAAATGCCCCCTCTCTTTCTCCCTGCCTCTCAAATAAGTATATAAATTTTTAAGTAAACAATTTTTTAGAAATTAAAACATAGTGAAACTATTGTCTGATGATATAGATTTTGGAACAGGCTTTCTTGCATGCCATAAGCTGTACACTTATAGATGGAACTTTGTGAAGTTCAAGGGAAGGAAATGTTATGCTCCATAAGTTAGGTACTAGTCATGATTAATAAAACACAAACTGGCAATGTATAAAAACACATGAAAGTGTTCCTTATGCATTTTCCCCACCCAGAAGTAACCTAACAGGGTTGAGATGTAAAATTAACAGAGGAAAGAAGATGATTTAAGAAATTAGATGAACAGTTTGCTCACCTAAGATATGCATTCATATGTCTGCACCCTGTTGATATTTCCTTGGTTCCAGTGGGATCCCAGAGGAGGTGTGTACAGTGAAAGAGGAAATGAGACTCAAGCCCTCCAAGTGCCAATAATAACTGCACTGTCCATAAAGATCTTTGCATTTCAGGAATGTTTATCTAAATCTGAACAACTGGTAACCGTAAGTCGGCTAGATTCTCCCAGGGCAAGTCACAGCCCTTACAAAGAGTGTGCTGGGAGCATCATAAAAGGAGACCATTTGTCATCCAAATAAAATTCAAGAAGGGGATCTAGGAAGTAATTAATACAAAATTAATGTAATAGTACTCTTTAGGTCTTACTATTTGAGATCCGCAAATTTTTAATAATTCCAAAGTGTTCTCTGAGTTAGTAGCAGAATTTTGCATTACCAAGACCAGCACAATTTCAAAAATATTTGGAGTAATGGGACAAAAATATTCATGAGTGGTCTACGTGCCCTTGTATTCCATCATTTCCTCTATGTTGCACCATTTGACGATTTCTGAACCTGAAACATTAATGCGGGTCATGGCCATGCAAGCATTCAAGGGCCAGTGCATGAACTCGCAATGACTTCTCACCTTCCGGTTCCCAATGACATTGTGTGGATGCCAGAGAGCCACCATGCTGGGAGTGTTTATTTGGAAGCCTGGACTTAGGAGACTCAGTATGGAGAGTGAGCAAATGAGCATTTTTGTATCATGCCATTGAGGCTTGGAAGCTAATGTGTTAGCGCAACATAATACCCTATTCTGACCAATACAGGAAACTACTCAGGGGTTGTCAACTTTCTAACATGCCAAATAGGAGATTTTGAAAGGATACAAAATTCCTCACCACATTCCATCATTATGTCAAATAAATATTTTCACACACACCTCCTCACCACCAACAAATACAGAAAGAACGTTATTGCAGAACACAGAATTCTTCTTTAAACTCAATAAATGTAGGGTTTTTTCCCCCATAAAATCACTCACTGATTTTTAATTTTTTCATTTTGCTGGGTAAAAATACTTAATCATTAAATAGCACACCTTTCTTCCTTTTGATAATTAAGAACAATGATTCCAGATATTTAAAAAATGGTACAAGAGGGTTATTGAACCAAAGCAATGAAAACAATCCCTGGCAATGCCCAGCTTTACCTGTCTTTTGGTGAGATCCAGATTCTCTGCTATCTTGTATCTCCTCAGTCTAGTCACATAGTTGTGATGGGCAAATTCTGCTTCTAGTCCTTGGATTTGCTCTTGGTAAATGCTGTCCTTTCCTTCCTGGGTTTGCTGTTGACTTCAGACTTGTAATTTCCTTCTTGGGATCTGAAAAAAATTAGTACCAACTCATTCATTCAAATATATGTAATCATGTGATTTACTGTATTCATCATGGCTGAGTTACTGCTTTCCCAAGTGCTGTGCTAGTCTTGGGACAAATGGAGAGCAGAAGCAGTAAAATACTCTCACCTCCATCATGCGCAACACATTCCTTGGTTTTCCAATCTGCCTTCAAACAACTGATGACCTAATTGGAGATGTGTCAAATTTTCTCCTTACAAAACATGAACTGTATATAACCACTCATCATATGATATTATAATAAGATGGACAAAATCCTCTCTAGAAAACAATTTTAGATATGAAATTTAGTAAGTTCTTAACACACAGGCTTGAGGTCTAAGTATGAACAGAATGATTCTCCATTTTTAAGCATTATTTATTTATTTGAAAGGCAGAGCAAGTGATAAAGTGAGAAGGAGAGACAGAGAGAGATCCTCCACCCACTGGTTCACTCCCCAAATGACCACAAAGGTCTTGGGCTGGGTCAACCAAAGCCAAGAGCCAGGAACTCCATCTGCATTCTTCTGCTACTTTCCCAATAGAATTAGCAGGGAGCTTGTTGGAAAGCAGTAGAGCCAAGAACTTGGGTCCCTGCCGCCATGTGGGAGACCCAGATGGAGATCGGGCTTCTTAATTCAGCCTGGCTCAGCCCTGGCCATTGTGGCCATTCAAGGATTAAACCTGTGGATGGAAGATCCTTTTTCTAGTTTCTCTCCCTCTCTATATAGCTCTGCCTTTCAAATAAATAAATAAATCTTTGAAATTAAAAAGAAGAATTAGAAAATACCTCTATTTAATTATGATACTAAGTATTTTTATGATAACTTAAGTATTGCTATGATAACTAAGACACACAAGCAGACTCTTGGTTACCCAAGAAGCCACATTCATCTGATGTTAAGAGCACAACCTCTGCCGCTCACCTGCTTATTCAACCCTACTTCCTTCATTTCCTGACCTTTAACCCAGAATTCATGTGAAGATGGTTAAATTAAGTAAATAATTTAGATAAATGCCCGCATATTGTAGGATTCAATAATTAATTGTAAACTCTAACCTTTAAGAGAGGACTGTAGCCTAAGGCCTTAGTATTTGGAAATAATACATTTAATACAATGAAGAATTAGAAAACATTTTAAAAAAATAGGAAAAGTTTGTTCTTAAAATGGAGCTCAGTCTAAAATGTAAGAAGTTTAGAATTCACACAATGGGGCCGCGCCGCGGCTCACTAGGCTAATCCTCCACCTTGTGGGGCCTGCACCCCGGGAGACCAGGAGAAATACCTGGCTCCTGCCATCAGATCAGCGTGGTGCACCAGCCGCAGCACGCCAGCCATGGTGGCCATTGGAGGGTGAACCAACAGCAAAGGAAGACCTTTCTCTCTGTCTCTCTCTCTCACTGTCCACTCTGCCTGTCAAAAAAAAAAAAAAAATTCACACAATGGATAAGTGTGTTCTAATTCACAGTGAAAAATAGCTGAGCTCCTACAAGGAGCTGTATGTTATTTTCTGCCAGCCCACAATGAAACAGAAGGTGTAGCTATGATTTCCAAGGCCCAGTGGCATCCAGAGATGAATTTTTTCCCTCTGAAAGGTTTTTTTGGAAAGTTTGATGAAATATAACTAATCCTAGTCTGCCCAATTAACTAATCAGATAGTATAATTGTGTGTGAGTGACTAAGTATGAGTGAGTGTGTGTATGGGTGAGTGTGTGTATGAGTGAGTGTGTATGTGTGACTGTGAGAGTATGTGTGATATGTGTGTGACTGTGTAAGTATGGGTGAGCATGTATATGAGTGTGTGTGTGAGGGTGTGTAAGTGTGTAAGTATGGGTGACTGTGTATATGAATGTGTATGAGTATGAGAGTATGTATGTCAGGATGTGTGTGTGTTTCTTCTCCTTTAAAGAGTCCCAGTAAACAGATACATGGATTTACTAAGAAGAATCACATCATGCCTAAATGTTAGAACATACAAAATACTATAACTTGTACTCTTAAATGATTTTAATCAAGACAAAATTTACTAAAAACATTCCTTAGCCCATTCTTTAAAATATTATGCCTTTATTATTTACTAGGATGTATAATTTTCTTCATTTGGAGGGTTTGAGAAGCAAATAGCTCAGGTATTTCTTTTTTTCTGGATGATTAAAAGTCAATAATCTACCTATTTATTTCACTTGCCTTCACAGTAGAAACTGTAAATTATAAAAATAAACAATACATAAAAGTAATGATATAAAATAATCTTAAAATCTGAGACAACCTGAGTTTCCAGCTCATGTATTATACAGCAGTTTGCTTGCATCTGCTGCTGGAAAGAAATGCCTTGTGATCATTCCCTATTGCAGTCGCACTGGCAAGAAAGATCATAGTCTTTGGGTGAATCTTCTGCAACACATTTCTGATTGCTTTTCTAAAAGGACTTCCCCAATATGAGAAGTCAAAAATCATAGAAGTTCCATTTGTAGGACACTGCTTAAATACCCTTCACAGATAGAATCCTGTTCACATTGAGTAAGTAGTACTTGCTTTCCAAAAAAGTAAAATCAGCCAAAGAGAAAATCAGTGCTCTCAATAAAGTCAATTTGTTGTGCAACATAATGATTTCCTCAAATAACAGGGAAGCTCTGATGTAAACATGTTTGAGCAAAATAACATGCAAATGACAAAGAAAGGCTTCCTCTTCCCAAACTGTGTAAATCATATCTCCATTGTCTTCTTCATCATTCTTACTATTACTTATAGGGAGAGGCTGTGTGCAGGAGGAGGAGAGAGAGAGAGAAGAAAACATTAAGTGACATTTACTTAGAAAACATACTGAGGCCAGCGCTGTGGCTCACTAGGCTAATCCTCTGCCTGCGGTGCCAGCACCCCGGGTTCTAGTCCCTTGGGGTGCTGGATTCTGTCCTGGTTGCTCCTCTTCCAGTCCAGCTCTCTGCTGTGGCCCGGGAAGGCAGTGGAGGATGGCCCAAGTCCTTGGGCCCTGGACCTACATGGGAGACTAGGAGGAAGTACCTTGCTCCTGGCTTTAGATAGGTGCAGCGTGCCGGCCATAGCAGCCATCTAGGGGGAACCAATGGAAAGAAGACCATTCTCTCTCTCTCTCTCTAACTCTGCCTATCAAAAAAAAAAAACTGAATGTGAGATCCTATGAGAGGAATGAAATCATCAACAAATTTCTGAGTGTAAAATGTGAAGAATTGCTGGCCTAGCCTGTGTAGAGTACACAAGCAAAGAAGGTTGGTAACAAGACTGGTGAAGGCAGAATGGATACAGTAGCAATGATTATGAATAACAGCAGAAGAGGTTTGCATGTGGTGCATAAATGCCTTTCTAGAAGAGGAAGGAGAAGGTGAGGTCAGAGGCGCTGATCCTAGTGCATTTCTTGAACAAAAGAGGCTATGAAAGGCAGTGAGTATAGGATTGGCTTATGTGTGTGGAAAAGTGGGAATGGGGAATTGACTATCTTGCTGAAATAGGAAACTCAAAAATAAAGTATCTTTTAAATACCATTTGATACTATAGTCCCTTTTAGAAATGTGTACACATAGCATATACCCTATGGTGAAAGTGTGATATGTGATGTATGTGACATGTGACAATCACGAGTAGTTTGCTGTACAATGTACTATGAAATACACAGATAAATATGATATACCTACCTAGAAGTACCTTACAATCAAGTTTTGGATACAAGTGACCTAAAATTAACCATAAATAATTATAAATAGTAGTCCTTGGGGTACTATCAAGCTATCATGCGTTAAGGGTTAATACTTTGGGATACATAACCTTTTTCTTTGCTAAATCAATTTATGGGAAATAGCAATGATAATACCATGAAGTGGGTATTTTGTTAAGCAGTTAAGAAGCTGCTTGGGACACCCACATTGCATATTGGAGGGCTTGAGTTCAAGACCTGGCGCTGCCTCCAATTTCAGCTTCTTCTGACTCCTATGCTGGGAGGCAGCCCCATGTGCTTGGGGCCCTGTCTCCTACATGGGAGATGGAGTTTAAATTCCTAACTTGAGGCTTTGGTTTGATCCAGCCATGGCTACTGTAGGCATTTGTAAGTGTATCAACAAATGGTAAGTCTCTTTCTCTTTACCTTTCAAATAAACAAATAAATAAAAATTTTAAACAGGAATTTTAATTCTGTTATTATGTATGCATTTCAGAGACTAAACTGAATATTATGTTAAACAAATTTTCTAGGACAGTAGCTTTAACTGAAATCTGATATATTTTTTAAAAGCCAAATTTTAGATTAGATACAAAAAAAATTTCTACACCTACTTCTAATTTCTCCCAAATGGCATATGAGTAAGTTTATGTGAATGTAAGTTTATGTGAATCTGAAGATTTCACCTTGCAGATAATCCAAGGGTACTGATTGTGTATTGGATCAAGGCACTCCATCCAAACCTATACTTTGATTTTTTTATGTCATATATCATGGCTCATAACTTTTGAAATATTTAATAAGTTTTTAGAATTATATACTAGATAGAAGATAGCATTTCATTACACTGAGGGGGGAAATGAACTGGGATTGTATATTTTTCTTGTACTTAACATGTAAGCTGGCACTCTCAAAAAGGGACATGATTTGTTCCTAAATGTTATTTACCAGCATCCCTACCCTTGCATACACACAGCACACAGAAACACGAGTGAAGCACATCATTTGTTTCATATGGCAATAACTGTCAGAGTAGAAAATAAATCTTAGTAGCCGCACATGTTTTTAAAGTTTTGCACTGATTAACCAGAACTCTGGTTAAAATCAGTTTGTAATGGGCATATTTTTGCTTAAAACATTTACAGATTCAGAAAAGAAATGACTTGGGGAAAATTGCAGAAGGTTTGACACCTGAAGACTTGAGTTGAAAATCATTGCAATTTGCCGCTTCCATGGTCTTCTAAGCCAATTCTCTTTTCAAGTTCAGATTCCTAATCTATAGAATCCATGCATGATTGTTGCAAGCAGAAAATTGAGAGAATTTAAAGTACAGATGTGGGAGAGAGAAAATAAGTTTAGTAATAACACTTACTATTGACAATATCAAATAAAATGTACCATGAGTGAGATTTAATTAACTGAAAACAATTTTTAAGGATTTACCTTAGTTTTTTTGAAAGGTAGAGTGACATAGAGAGAGGGAAAGATAAGGAAAAAGACATCTTCCATCTGCTGATTCACTCAGGAAATGGTTCACTCCCCTCAATGGTTGGGCCAGACCAAAGCTAAGAGCCTGGAACTCCATCCAAGTTTCCCATGGGGAGCAGGCGGACCCAAGGACTTGGGCTGTCTTTTGCTGTTTTCTAAGGCACATTAGCAGGGAGCTGGACTGGAAGAAGAGCAGCCATGACTCGAACTGGGCTTCAAATGGAATGCAGGCTTTGCAGGTGGCAGCCTAAC